AATTGTCAAGCTTATGAATTGGTTGTTAATGTTAGCTATCTGTTGTCAAAACTATGGAATGGTTGCTAACGTTAGCTCCCTGTTGTTAAGGTTAGCTATCTGTTGTATTGGTTGTTAAGGTTAGCTATCCTGTAGCTGACAGGCGAAGGGATGGTGGTGTTGCCGCGTGGAATGTGGGGATAGGTAGGTGTTCAGGTTATATTAACTCACCTCCTTGGGAACTAGGAGGAACATTGAATGCAGTAGCAGAGAATATACGCCGGTGACCGTGACAACCAAACGCTGCTGAATAACAGCAAGGGACCTCTCCACAAGAGGGCGCTAACAATTAATCAATAAACATAACAATTAATCAAAAACTTAACAACCAAAAAAACATAACAATTAATCAAAAACTTGAACATTAAAGTGATAAATTTGACAACCAAAAAAATAACCTTAACAACCAAATCAAAACTTCAACATTAAAGTGATAAACTTGACAACCAAGTAATAACCTTAACTACCAAGTCAAAACGTCAACATTAAAGTGATAAACTTGACAACCAAGTTTATCACCTTAACAACCAAGCTATGACCTTCTCACTTGTAGTGATATACAGGACAACAAATCCATATACATGACAATAAAACGCTAAACTATATAGGCTCGTTACAGCTTGCACGATTGTGACCCTCCATGTTGCATCGAGAGCACTTAACCGGTCGGGTGTTCAGCGACCTGTTGTTTATTCGTCTAGTGCATGGTCTGCCACGTCTTTTTTTGGTGAGAGGAGGCTTCAACACTCGCTCTTCTGGCGGTACAAAGCGCTTCTCGTAATCTGGGATGGGATAGATGATCGGTGCATAGCTTGCTCTGAACGCAACAACAGTCATGTACCAATCGCAATATTGATAAATTTCTCGTCCCATCCATGTAATTGCAGCGCACGCATGTTTGCAGGGAATGCGGGTGATGTCCCAGGACCTGCAAGAACAAGTCCGATTCTTCAAATCTACGCGGCAAGTTTTATTGGACTCGACCTCCACAATATCTTCCGTCGAATGTTTAATCGCCAAGCAGCTACCATGCTGAATGTTATCACTCAGCACCAACTCCGCTTCCGGGCATAGGTATCCAGACCATTTCTGACCCAATAGCCTCCTTTCATGCATGCGCTCCATTATTTGCTTCCGTATGGTCTCAACCAAAGGTAAGATTCGCAACAATCGTGCCTTTCTTATCCAGCTGTTGAAGGACTCAGCAACGTTTGAAGTAACATGGCCATACCTTAACAACAAAGCACTAACAATAACAATAATTCCTTAAACTAAACATTAAAGGCCTAACCTTAACAACAAATATCCTAAACTTAACAGCAAAACCCTAGCAGAATAACTCTAACCATAACAATAAAAATCTAACCTTAACAGAAAACTGTAGGATAACTCTAACCTTAACAACTATAACAGTGCTGTAACAAAATAACGTCGGGACCAAGCTATCTTACCTTATACCAGGAAAATGCGCGTTTGCCCATCTCTCCGGGGAGTATTCCATTACAGTGACATAAGCCCTGTGATCGATCGCTGCCAATTCTTTCATGTCATTATCCCATTCAGATATTGTGAACTTATAAGCCGCAGATTGTAACAGCTCGCCCAACGTAGTCGCGATATTTGCCTTGTGCCCAAAATCCTTCATCTTTTTTTTGAAATTCTCGACTAGATGCAGAACACACCTTGAATGGAATGCATCTGGAAAGAATTCCTCGACTGCTGCCCTGATACCCTTGTCGGCGTCTGAAATCATTACCAGTCGATGTGGAGGTTGGTAAGGATTTTCCCTATCATACAGTAACGTCCATAATCCTTGTAAGAACCATTTCCAGTTAACCTCATTCTCTTGGTCGCATACGCAATAAGCTAGGGGAAATATTCCCTGGTTGCCGTCATACCCAGTAGCGCTAAGTAGTATGCCTCTGTAACGATCTTTAATAAATGTTCCATCCAAAAACAATAGAGGCCTACACCCAGCAATGAACCCTTCAATACAGGCATTATAACTAATGAACAGTCGCCTGAACCTCCCGTCATCAGCATCAATAACAACACGACTCCCTGGATTAGTTGCATGCACCATGGATTCATACCTGCATGAATATAACAACAAAGCAGTACATTTAGCGAAGGATTCATAACCATAACAAATGATCTTCAAACTTCACGACCAACACGTATACTTAACGACGAACCAATAACTTTAACAACTAATACGTATAGTTAGCAACCAACACGTACACTTAACGTCGAACCGCCAACTTTAACAACTACTACGTATAGTTAGCAACCAAAAGGTAAGAGTGATTTCAGAAGAATAAAAAAGATAAGGACCATCTCAGTGAATCGTAAGCCTCATCATCGTCACCGAACAGGTCCTGTTGAGCTGTCTCCTTGCTCCACCACGCTTTACTGTAGTTAATCTTGATGCCAAAATTAGAGAGCATGTCGTTCTTGATATCGACCGCACGAAGATCTGGCCTAACCTTCAAAACAGCTTGTATTTGGCTAGCAATGAACTTCCTTGATGCCCTTGAGTTGCCAGCATTTGCTCCATGTTGACCGCAGGTGTGGGTAGACTCGAAATTCTTTATGGACATGATAGACGAATTTCTGAGCGGGGAAGCAAACAACATCCAAGGGCAACCATGTGTGTGTTTGAATCGGCAATAGACTCTTATGCGTCTTTGTTCATTGTGGTAAAAATCATACTCGAACCGTTTAGCAATTGAATAGTATTGAAGTGCTAATCTAACTTCAGCAGCACTATCAAATTTCTGACCAACTTCACGTATGGAGGTGTGCCACTCAGTTGGGATCTTTGTTTGGTGATTAAGCATGTCTTCCAGCAGCATGATCGAGTCGCCGGTGGGGTTGTCATTAGGAATACGCTCATCATTACAGGTTTGGGTGAACGGGGTATCTGCGCACCGCGAATTTTCTGTCGGTATTGTCCTGAAGTATAAATCAAAATACATAGCCTTAGCAACGAACTGATAACCTTAACAACGAACTCATAAACGTAACAACCTACACATATCCTTAACAACTAACCCTTATACTTAAGGGCAGACTCGTGACCTTAACAACAAACGCATATACTTAACATCAAACACCATAACTTAGCAACCAACTAGTATACGTAACAGCCAACAAATAACTTTAACAACCAGTGCTTAACATAACCTTGACAGCCAACACATTACCAAAGCAACCAATGCATGAGGTTAACAACTAATGGCAAAACCTATCAGTGAACTCAAAAGGAAATCTGGAGTGTAATTCCTACGCAGTTTCCGGCGTAGTCTGCGTGTTCTGCGAAGTTGAGGATTCCGCAGCGGAGGTGGCATACAAATTCGCGTCTGTAAATCCATTACGCCGACAATACTCGAACATCAAATTTAAGTCGTCGTCATTGTCAATTGAAATGCTGAATTTCTTTTCCCTTTCGCATATGAACTTCAGTGAAAGAGATTGCATTGGTATTTTAAGCCTTTCCGCCACTCGATATTTCAAGCTGATTATTTCTGTATTCTCTTTGATAACGACGAATACACCGTCACCACCTTTGTTGCTTTTTGCCTTCGTTACCACGCATAGAAGAGATCCATCCGCTATTTTATTACAGGGAGTGGTTGAAGAATCGAAGAGGCTTTTATTGAGGATAATTAAGTGGAAGGAACAACTTAGCTTGAAGGGGGATATAGCTGGTGATAATATCTGATGATAATTTTGGAGGGAAATGGGAATTTTCCCCCCAAAAAAAGTCATTCATATCACCATTTAATGCCTACAGTCGAAACGATGGGTTTCCGTCGTGAGAGGGCGACGAACACATGCTGCGAAGGGTATTTTGGGCATTTCGAGCGGTGTTTAAACGGAAGGTGGCCTGGGGATTCGTTTTGGGGGCTGGAAGAAAATCGGGGGCGGTTTTGGGGGTAAAAGGCACGTTGAAAAGGTCTTGGGGGGGCAGAGCACGTTCTGTGTTGTTTTGGGGGCTGGAAGCAATTTTCCCTTAAAAATAATTTGTTTCATGAGAATACATTTATAATCGCTCCAAATTCTACTTTCTTACCGGAAGCAAATCACATACGTTTAAAATGTAACAATTTAATCTAACTGGCTACAATTTTCTCTTTCCTGCTACAAATATTTTAATATGCTATGGTGTTGCCTAATCTGTTATGGTTTTCTTTAATCTGCTATAATTTTGACCTATTATTTAACTTACTATGTTATAGCTTTTACCTTGCTATATTTTCTTTTAAGCAATGAAGTATAGTTTTCCTCAACTGAGCACAGAATAATTCTTATGTTGACTACTAATGTTTCTTTAGTCTATATAGACTTGATTTCTCATAGCTCTCTTTATCTGATTATTTTTTATAATTTTTTTATTTTTTTTAGAGAATACTCATGTTTCATTAATGGAAAAAAAAAGTTATTTCAATTAATTGCCTGATGAGATAATGAGCTATACTTAAAAAAAAACTTTATTTCAAAATAATTCGCTGTGCTTAATAGAAACTGAGAATATGATTAAATCTTTTTTAGGAGACAAAATTTGATGTAACTTATAACTGTGAGCTTACTCCTGATAAATCAAATATTAGCCAATTTTGTTGCATTTACAAGTGCAGCGTTCAAGTATGATACGTCTGATGCATATATATCAAGCATTCATGGATTGGCAACAAAATGTGTGTTCTTCTATGATTAAGCACTGATCATGTATGGCCAATACAACAGTTTCGCATACGTATTGTAAAAATTGCTTCATTTTTATAGTATCCTTCTCACATGCTACATACATGAAGCAAGAAAAATTACAACTTAAAATTTACATCCAAAAAAATTGCAGAAACAAGAATTGAAGAACTCAACGTCTTGAATATCAACAATCTGTTTCCCTCATGATCAACAACTATTAATCAATTAAGAAAAACTACATATTAAGATTTACATAAAGAATGCAGAAACAAGAATTGAACTCGAGCCTTGCACATGAACGATCAGTTTCCCTCATGGTCAACTACTAATCAAGTAAGAAAAGCTACACATTAAAGTTTACATTCAAGAATGCAGAAACAAGAACTGGAACTCTAGCCTTGTACATGAATTCTCACCTTGTACATGAACTCTCAGTTTCCCTCGAAATCATCAACAATTAATCAAGTAAGAAAAACCACAGATTGAGATTTACATCGAAGAATCAAGAGACAAGAATTGATACTTGAGTATTGAACATGAACAATCGCTTTCTCTCATGATCAACAGCTATTAATCAAGAACTTGAACCGGTCCTCCCTCAGTTCAGAACTAACCAAAATCAAGAAACACGTACATTAATGCATCAGTTCCTGTTATCAATCTTTCCTTATCCTTTTCAAATCTCTACCATCCTCTTGAGAATCAGCACTCTGCTTTCTCTTGCCCTTTGCCTCGTACAATTCATCGACACTTTGCTCGTCATCTACAATATTTTCCTCATTCTCTCTGACAGGGAATTGTGCAGGAGTTATGGTGGACACTTCGTAGGGAACAAGCTCCCCAGCCAGTAGTGGGATCCTCACCCAATGATGCAACTCATGGACTGTTGCATCCTCAGGATTAGAGCTCATCTTCAACAGAAAAGATCGATTGCCTACACAGAAAGGCACATCTTTGTTGAACCTCATAATATCAGCCCTCTCAAGTTGGTATGGTGCTATGATCCCAGCTTCGGCCAAATCCAAGAACTTGTAACTGCGCCAAGAACATCCCTGATCCCCAAGACTGTAGAGAGCGAGTATGCTGTTTTTGGCAATAACAACCCCGATTTTGTCATCGCTTATCTTGCCTAGATATTTTCTCTGTGCAGAATGAAGCATTTTTGGTAGATCGAGTTTTTGCAGGCCTGAGCTATCAACAGTGTTGAAAGTGACGACCATCTTCTGATCATCAGTGAGCCAGAATGCAGCACCAGAATCATCAGAAATGCCTGTATGCATCAAGATACGCCTGGGGCTGATATCTAACAACCTTGTGCCCTGGACCCATTTGTCTACTCCTGAGTGGTACCAGTCGAATGTGTACTTGCCCCCGTCGGCCTCTTCAACAGCGCAGATAATGTCGAATGCAGGGAGTTGGTTGTTGACGGAAAGAACTGCAGTATCGTAATCTTTGTGGGATCTTGGAGGGCTGGGGATGCGCCTGTAACTGTCAGCATTGTGGACGAACGGGTTGAAGACGTGGTAGGAATTCGAGGAGGATTTGTAGACTAGGAGGAGGCCTTTGGAGGAGGAGCAGATGAAGAAGGGCTGGGGAATTGAGGAGGGGAAGGAGGGGTTTGTGGGAGGATGATGACCGGGGTGGAAACAATTGAAGTAGTAGTTGTCAGAGGGGAAGTGCTTGAATAAGATCCCAGCTATGGAAGGGGCTGCGTTGACAACTGGAGCTGCTGCATTAGAGGGTGCGGAGGTCCCAGAGGGAGTAGTATCAGAGCTGGTTCCTTCTTGATCAAGAAAAGAAGAGCAAGAAGCCATTGATTTGGCTTCTTTGATGTCTCTCTTCTCTGTTTCTTGGAAAAGGTTTATGAGGGTGGGGTGTTGTTTTTTTTCTTGCAGGGAGAGGATTATGAGAGGGTTATGATGGAGGACTTTGGGATGGTTTGGTTTGGCTTTATAGAAGTGGTATTTTGATCGTAAGTAACAGGATATTTTCCTTAGTACAAAATATGAATACATGAAATATTGGAGCTAACCTGTGTTGATTTACTTAGTTCAAAAATGTCAAAAAAAAATGGTTAATATAAACTATCTTGACGAGTTAAAATGAGTTAAAGCTTCTCGTCATTTATGTCTTTAAACACGAACTATCTATATGCCTTTAAAGAAAAAGATGGTATTATTCTTTTTGCAAAAACAATAAAAGATGAGGTAATGTGTCACCCCAAATATATCATATTAGTAGAATTATTAACAAAATCTAACTACATCTCAATCTGACCCTTTGATATAGATTGCCCTCCAGATTTTAACTTGTTATTTTTAGATGACATAGCATAGGGATAAAACATCAATTGTACCTTCCAATCCTTCTGAAAATAGAGGGTGTGTTAGCACCACACTCATAGCGTAGGGATAAAATCCACTACAATGTACTATAGCGATCTTTAATTTATTGATTCCTGGTAAATCCCTCTTCATATTATGTTATGAGGTTTCCAGGAAAGTCAAATACATAAAAGCTTATTGAACATCCAAAGCATGGAATATTCTGGTAATTTCTACTTGAAACTATTAAGTTATCCTTTGCTCTCACCAAAACTACAACAGTACATTATGAGAGACTGCAAGATGGTAAATATCAAGCTCACCAGTGATGGGTTCAGAATTTTTATCTGAATGGGGTTCAGGATTTTATCTGAATGGGGTGATGGGTTCAGAATTTTATCTGAATGGGGTTCAGGATTTTATCTGAATGGGGTCTCTATGTAACTGATTAGCTCATCGAAGTAGCCAATTCCAACAATTATCCTCTTCAATGATGTCCTTTACTATTTTTTGCGGTGTCCTAAGTACTAAATACCAGTAAATTAGTAAAAAATGCTTATAAAGCTCGCAATCTAGTGGTGTCCTATGGCATCACTGGACAATGTGTAGCTCAAGAGGCAAGCCGATCCTGAATCATAGCTATATCAGTATTGAGTTTAGTAATAACAGTTACAGTTTAATGCCATTATGAGAGATATCCAACATAGCCATAAATAGTAATTGAAAAGGTCGATAGCATACCTTGGATTATTTTATAAATGAAATCATCAGGGAAGGCAGGATCCGATGATTTAACCACAATCATACATGAGGTGTATCCAGACTTTTCAATGCAAAGCCGCTCGCGTGGAACACCATGACTAGGCCATTCAAATTCACCAGAAAATTATAAAATTTTCAGGATAAAAATAAATAAATATATATATAAATAGGAAAACAAAATGGGAATTTGGTTTCTGGCTTTACTTGCTCAATTTGACATGGAGGTTTTATCCTCTTCCGGTGAGTTTTCCCAATCACTGACATTCGATTGGAGGATGATGATCTGGTGATCTTTTGGTTCAAGAATTGATCGGCGATGATCAGATGTAAAACGTGAGGCTGAACTTTTTTGGGCATAGGCCAGGTAATTGAGGAATCGGCATTGCTCTCAAACCACACACCATCCCATCATATCTAATCTAAGTTCTAAGCTAATAAATACAGGACTTGAAACAAACAATAATCGGTGAAATAATGCATAAGCTAAAACAGCAGATTAACTAAGTAATCTCTTTAAATTGACTAACCAATTCAAGAAACTAATAGATTAGTAGATTGAAACTTTTAAAAGATTCAAATAAACAGATTTGTAGGGCGGGGAATGTTTTAGCTTGTGATGATTAGGGGTAAAAAAAATTCCTAAATAATGTGAAAATTGGAATCTCCAAGAAGATCTAACAATACCCATAAACCAAATACTACCCATCATATCTAAGTTCCTAAAAAAATGAATTTTCTTCTGTCAATTTTCTTATTAGGGTTAGTAGGAAATACAACTATTCTTTTGATGACTCCTCAAGTAACTATCTAGATATCATAATTGACTGTGAATTTCCAGCATCTTCATCGCTAGACAACAAGACCCCATACCAATAGACAAACATAAGGCCCTATATTTTTCACTTTTACTTGCCCAAAATCATCAAAAACAAGTAGCCAAGGTTCATAGTTTCATATCGAAAAATAACAGAGAGATAGGATTAATATTGTTCTTCTCAGAATAAGAGCAAACAGGATATCTCCTTAGAATTAGACCAAAACAAAAAGTACTAAATACCCAAAAGATGGGCATGTTCATCATACAAGAGCAACCAAGTATATGCCAAAAGACATATAATATAATACATGTCTATAGTTTTTCATAGAAGCATTAACCAAAATTTTATCACACAAGAACAGCCAAGCGTTAACCGAGTATATTCTCCTAATTACAACAATGACCATAAGCCACAGCTTCGTTAACCTGAGTACTGTGATTTTTGCTTAGAATTACAGTTAACAGAACTGAATCAGGTCAATAACATTAAAGATCTAAACTTTATCATTCCTAAATCAAACCCAGCAACAAAAAACCCATAACTTGTCATACAAAACGCAAAGAAATAAAGGGACCGGCAAAGTTATTTCAAGCAGAAACCCTTCTTTTGAAATTGGATAATGGATCTCTTTCCACCTGAAATCATCAAAGACCCATTATCAGTTTATATCATA